GGGGTGGGGCGGCGGGCCTCGTTATACGGACCGGTCAGCGCCTTCGCCGGCACCCGCCGCACCCCGCCCCGGCCGGGGCCGGGCCTCCCCGCTCCGCTGACCATGCACCTCGCCGCGGCCGCCGGCGCGTTGTTGGGGTCGTGAGGTCGTCGCCAGCCTCATTGCATTGTGGCGCCCCCTGTTACCCGCGATGACGCCCCGCCCAGCCTCACGCGAGACAGAGCGTCTAGAATTTGCGAGATTTGTGAGATTTGTGAGATTTGCGAGATTTGCGAACTTCTATTTCGGCTCAACTGTTGGACTGTTCATTTTTCGCGATTTGATCTGAAGCACTTTGTAAGTTCGGCTTCCACGATAATGAATAAGATTACTTTCGGAAGAAGCGAAAAAACTCCCTTTCGTTTATTTTATAAGGATTGTGGCGTGGATCACGATCGGCTGTCCGTGCCTGGGCCAACGGGCCCCCGAGTGAAGTAGGGCAGTTGCGCCCCGCCCTGCCCCGGCCCGCCAGTTGGGAACCAGATCTGAAGCATCTTCGGTCGTTAGCGGTTGTTTGGGTGCCTCTTTCCGCATGCGGCGGCGAACTCGTGTCGGGAAAGCGCAATAAAAAAAAACTCCAAAATATATAACGGTTGCTGAAAGCATGCTTACCGTGCAACCCTCAGCGGAAGCTGAGAGAGACAAAACAGAAAGAAAGGAATTTACATTTCTCAAAAAGCCAAAGACAAGGGTATAAATCATATCAGACGCGAGAGCCCCCATCACAGGGTCTATACTAGAAACTCGCCACACAACTCCTGGCGCATCCCGATCCAGTGTCCCCTCTTCTGGTCCCCCTCAGGTCCCCCTCAGGCCCCCCCTCGCGGCCGGCAAGAGCCTGCGCCATCCCGCCGAGACTTTCGCTGCACGGGTCGGGATGAGGCGAAGCAGGCGAAGCTCACCGCGGATCTTCTCGCTGACATTTATCAGTGTAAAGCCCGTGGACTCGGCTGGGCTGGGCCTGGCGGGCCCGTCTGCGGCCCCTGCTACGGAGAGGCCGCCGACAAGCACGTAAATGACGTGACCGCCACACTTGACTGAGGAGACTCAACGCCGGGAGTATGAGGAGGGTCTTTTACCCGAGAACCCGAATTTGGGTTAACCCGGAGCGCGTCTGTAGTCTTTCGGCGGTCCTCTGCTCCACCTGCATCCCGTAGCTCCCCCCCCCTCCCCGGGCCCCCCACTTAACTGCTCGAGGGAGAGAGAGAGAGAGAGAGAGAGAGAGGGCAGATGGTATGCAGCATTCGAAGTACTCTTTGCTGGGCTTATTGGCCCGGCTTAGGTAGCTGGAGGCATGAGGAGAAAATGTGCTACAACATTTCGAAAAGAACTTTTTTGATGCAAAATTTTAGTTATAAAAAACAATTGCGCCAATCCGCAGACACACGGTTGTCCGTTTCGACGGTTGTGTTCTACGGCAACAGCATACAGCAAGCATGCAATATGACAGGTGCAAAAATATCGGGGAGAAGTCACAGGGGCCATGTGGCCCTCTGCTCATAGGTCGTTAGTTCAAAACAGGGAGGGGGGGTGGTGGTATTGCCACTGCCGGTCAGTAGTCATACTGCACTGGGTGTCCTCATAAACGCCTCAAAAGTAGGCAAATTAGGGCCCCGTGCTGTCCCCCCCCCCTCCATTAGCACATCCTGCGACTACGCGACCTGTATTTTTCGAGCTGTCCAAATGCCAGCTTGTGAGTGATAAAGTTTTGCCAATTTCCAATACTGCATTACATCCCAGCATTATTTCCGAAGCAAGAAGCGCAGGTTCTACTGAGTTTTTTGTTGTTCTCTTTTATCAGAGGGCGGAGGAAGGGGTGGGCGTGGGCGCCCTCTTTGCTTACTAATAGTACACCCCGCGTCAGCGCCGTTTTGTGAACGATCCGGACGCCCAGGTTATTGTTCCTCTTACGGGACAGTCTGTCGTTAAGCAGCTCCAAACAGGGCGCGGGGAGCGGGCCTCCCAGCGGCGTCCGCGTCGCCACCGCGGGCTGCCGGCGGGCGAAACGAACGAGAGGCACGAAAGGAAACACGCGCCGCACCCGGCCGCACCGCACACTAGTCGACCGGAGCAGCAGCAGCGCTTCGCTTTTCACGGAACCATGCCGCACTCGTTCTACAAATATACTGAGACGTACGGAGCGGGAGAGAAAGCCTCGGGAGCAGAAGGAGCAGGCGAGCAGCAGCAGGGCGCGCCCGCAGGGAGCCGATCAGCGGCCAAACACAAACACCAAAGGCACGCGGCCATACGTTACCAGGCGGTTAATCCATACTCATGTCCAGACGGCTGCATGACGATGCGTGGACGTTTGGAACACACGCACACACTCACTCACTCACACCAGCACAATTATTAGCCAATCACTTGTAGACACACTCACACTTGTTGCTTGATCAGTGGCGACGGTGCGACGGCACGCTCCTCGCACGACACACACGCACACACAACACGCACGCACGGCACGGACGCTCGGCGCGCAGCGATTCCCTGCCCTTGGCCTTAGCCGCTCGCTTTTATTCCTTCTGCCGGACGGACGCCGGAGAAATGGGGGGAAGGAACAGAGCAGCGCGCTGGGCCGCCGCCTCTCCTACCTTTCTTCCTCTCCCCTCTCCCCTCCCTCCTCCCCTCCTCCGCCCTCCGGTCCCCTCCGCGGTGGGAGTGGGGGTTGTGGCGGGCAGTGGCGGGGCGGGGCAGGTGTGTGGACTTCCCTCCTACCTGCCGGTAGGCGCCAAACATCCGCCTGTGTGTCCCGGCCGCAGCCGTGTGACAACTGTTCCCACAGTCGCTCCCTTTCTGGCGATTTCCTGCTGGAATGTTGCATAGAGTTTTGTAATATGACCGTGAAAGAATATGTACAACTCAAATAGTCGAAATTGTTTACCTCTCCACGACGCGCTGTTATACTCCTTGGTCTTCCGGCGCAAATTTTGCCTTCTTGAGTCCCCCAGAGCAATAATATCGAGGGTTAGCGTTTTCAAACAAAGCATGGCCCACCATTGCCACCCTGTGCCTACGTAAAACTTTGTCACTGTACACAAAATTTAATATTTTTACGGGGGAAAAATAAGCTTTAGAAGGAAAGAGTGTGACTTTTGTCGAGCATGACTATGTCCTTCTAGCACCTCCAGCACCTCACACTCACTCCAGCTGGACCCAATCCCTTTCCCCTGCAGCCCAAGTCACGGGAACACACGCACACTCACGCGCGTCTCTGCCGGCCCTTTCCTTTGCTTTTCAAAACGCGCCCCACACACAGGTCGGGGCCAAACACACAACAAGGAAATGTAAGGCCGGGGCAGCAGCAGCGTCATCCAACTAAGCGCGGCACCGCAAGGCGCAGAGCACGCCTTTCTTCGGGAATGAAAAAGGGGGGAAAAGCGAAGCTGAAGCCTCACTTACTACTCACTTGCTGTATGGCACATACATGGCGCCGTGTGCCGGTTGAGGTCGGTCTACTCAATGAATAGGCGACGTGTGGATAGTAGGGCAGTAAAGTTTTTTCCCCCTAGTAATTTAGGCGGTGACATGGCAAGAGATTCCGCCTTCCGGAGGTTTCAAAGTGTCCGTGACTGTCATACGCGCCGGCCGCTCGACTCGGCTAGAGCGCCTGCCAACCTCTGGGTGGGCAGCCCCGCCACACACCCGAGTGCAACGGGACGGTCTACCTCCCAGGCGTTCGCCACCGGGACCGGGAGGTAGTTAGTTGAATGCTCCGAGCCCAAACCTCTAGGTAGGCAAACCCGCTACGCACCCGAGTGCAACGGGACGGCTCATCTCCCAGGCGGTCACCACCGGGAGCTGACCGGCCGCTTCGTGGAGCTAGCTGAAGCCTCTGGTTAGGCAGCTCCGCCACACAC